ACCCATCCACCGATTCATCGATCCATCCATCCACCCACCCTTTCATTTATCCATCCGTCTATCCGTCCATCCATCTATCCATCCACCCATCCACTGATCCACAAATCCATCCACCTTCCCATCCATCCATCCGTCCATTGATCGATCCATCCATTCATCCTTCCCCTCATCCATCTATCCACCTACCATCCATCCATTCATCCTTCCATCCATCCTTCTATCAATTCTTCCCATCATCTATGTATCTATCATCTCTGTATCGTCAATCTATATCAAGGTATCTATGCATTTATCATCTATCTATGTATCTGTCTACCCATCCACCCACCTTATCTGTCCATAAAAATCAATCAGCAAGTAAATTAATGTCTGTGTGCACACCCTACTGCGTTCTGTTTCTCAGGAGAACATGGACTGATACAGCCCCTTTGAGACTAGAGCCCATAAGGACGTTACCCTTCTCCGGCGTGCTCGCGGCCACCACTGTTCCCCCTCTCTCATTCACCCTCTGCTTCTCCCCCTTCTGGGAAAAGCAGCGTTCCCGAGGGCAGAGGGATAGAAGGTCTGGCCCTCCTTCCTCGCTCTGCCCGGGCTCCAGGTCACCTTCCCTCAGTGACTTCTACCTGTAAAGATCGTCAGAGCAAAACCTGCTGGGTCCTGTCACCTTGCTCTGTCTTCTCCAGGAGCCCCATGGCAGCACAGACGTCCAGCAGCTTCTCCGTTCCACACACAGAGGCGTCCACTTTGCTGGCAATATCTGGAGCCCTCTGGGGTGCTTCATCTTTTAACCAATCAAACACCTTCAGCTTGCAAGCGGTGAGCAGGGCCTGTTAAAACACAAGCGCAGAGAGACCCATGAAGTCACTCGTCGAGTACTTTTGACTCCTGCAGACCCAAAAGACGCAGACCAGTGTTGTCGAAAGTATTCGACGGGGCCACCGAGCCTTCTTTTACAGAGAACGCTGGGGATCTAGAGGATCAAGTCTCCAGCTGTAAAACAAGGCGTACACAAGGTAAAAGCACATCGATGAATATCAAGCAGAAAAACCAGCCCGTGGGAGAAGAATCAACGTGCTGCAGATATGGGCTGAGTTCCAAACCCGTATGTTGCACCCCTAAGACCCCCAGTCCCTCAGGTCAGGATGTGACGGTATTCATAGGCAGGGTTTGAAAGAAGTGATTCAGGTAAAATGAGGTCATTTGGGTGGAGCCTCATCCAATAGGACTGGGGTCCCTATAAGAAGAGATGAGGACACAGACACACACAGAGGGACGAGCCTGTGAGGACACAGGGAGAAGACGGCGTCTCCAAACCCAGGAGAGAGGCCTCAGGAGGAACCAGCCCTGCCCACACCTGGATCTCAGACTTCCAGCCTCTGGGACTGTGGGAGAATCAATGTCTGTTGTTTCTAAGCCACCCAGTCTACGGTATTCTGTGATCGCAGCCTGAAATGGACT